TTAAAAATCTTTCACACTCATTTAGTGTGTGTGGAGGTCAGAGGACAACCTGTGAGAGTCCAGTTCTCTTCTTCCACCTTGTGGATCGTGGAGATCCAAGTCAGGTCATCAGACTTGGCAGCAATCACCTTTACCCCCTGAGCCCTGTGACAAGACACACACACACACACACACACACACACACACACACACACTATTCTACTCGACAGGGTCTCGCTATGTAGCCAAGGCTGGCCTGGAAATCACTTTGTAAACCAGACTCTCAAAAGCAGTTCTGCCCGCCTCTGCCTCTGGAATGCTGAGATAAAAGGCATGCCCACCACACCTGGCTTTTTTTTTCTTGTAATTTATTTTTAGATTCATTTCCTTTATGTGTATGGGTGTCTTGCCTACATCTGTGCACATTATGTCTGCTTGGTATCCTTGGAGGTCAGAAAAGGGCGTCTGATCCTCCAGGTCGTGAGTTTCGTAATAGTTATGTGGGTCCTGGGAATTGAACTTGGATTCTCTGTAAGAACAAGTGTTCTTAACCACCAAGCTAACTTTTGACCCTCCATGCCTGGCTTTCATGTGACCAATTTAGAAAACAGGAAACTCAATTACAGAAAAAAAAAAAAAAGAAGCTATGTGCAGAGAAATGAACTCTAGAACCCTTGTCCTCAAAATAAAGATCTCATTCAGGCATGGAAGAAGGTGTTCAAGTTAGACACTTTTTCCACATGACTTTAAGACTTAGCTAGAATAGACATAGGATGTATCATAGCAGATTATTGTATATTCTTGTATTCCACCCTTATGATTGTTAGTTTTGGATATTTTACACTATTAAGTTTTAATCCTCTCTTAGACTAAAAGGGGAATTGTAGGGAGTAACCCTAGCCCCGCCCAATAGTCCTGGGGCAGGTACCAGGTGGACCTGGGGACTTGCCCATAAGGGCAGGGTGAAGGAAAGCCGGCATGACGTAAGAGGGGCTTCTCAAAAGGCTGCACGTGGGGACCGCGCTCTCTCTTTGTTCTGGCTGCGCTGGCTGGGTTCGTAACCTAGCTCTGGCCTGTGTTTCACCCGGCTGTGCTTGGAATAAAGAGACTTTAATCCAATATCCTTCAGATTGTAGATCGTCTAAACTCAAGCTCCAACCACTTCAGTGGGCCAAGTGCCAGCTCCCAAACCATCTGCTTTGTTATTGAGACTTAAATTCCATATTGTAGCTGAGGCTGGTCTTGAACTCCTGATCTTCCTGCTTCTGCCTTCAGGCTGGGCAAAGGTGGCCTCCAAGCCAGACAAGGTATTACTGTATTGTAATCCCAGCACTTGGGAGGTAGAGGCAGGAGGATCAGGGGTTCAAGGCCACTTTAGGCGGCATAAGGCCTTGTCTCAAACAAACAAATAAAATCTAGCTATAGTAATAATGCCAGGTGGTGGTGGCACACACCCTTAATCCCATCGCTCAGGAGGCAGAGGCAGGTGGATCTCTGTGCGTTTGAGGCCAGCCTGGTCTACAGAGTGAGTGCCAGGACAGCCAGGGCTACACAGACCCACCCTATCTGTTAAGCCATTCTAGGCCTCACCTGCACCCATGTCTAGGCTCCTCTCTGTGCCTCCGAAGTTTTGAGTGCTTTGGGGTGGGCAAGAATCCTCAGTAGACTAACAGTCCCTTGCTTGATGACGTGAGTTTGATCCCTAAAACCCACGTGGTAAAGGGAAGGAACCCCGAGGACGTGGTGCCGGCCGAGGCTGCCCAAAGGAGGGGTTGACTAAGTGACACCGAGTCACAATAGAATTGGAGTTTTATCTAATTCGTTTATAGCGTATGCCTCTGGGGCCTAGAACAGTGCCTGCCTCACAGCACGTGCTCGGTAGATGATCATTGAAAGAAGGGATGAACGGAAACTTCCCCAGGCTCCTACTGTGAGGAAAAGCTTCCTGGGTATGTAAGTGTGAGTGGAGGAGACTGACCTGCATACACGCTCCAGGGCACTCACCCACACTCACCCACAATTATTTACATGAGTGTGAAAAGTGTTCCTTCTGAGGGCTAGGGAGATGGCTCAGAGGTGAAGAGCACCGGCTGCTCCTCCAGAGGTCCTGAGTTCAGTTCCCAGCAACCACATGGTGTCTCACAAACATCCGTTATGAGATCTGGCGCCCTCTTCTGGTGTGCAGATAGACATGGAAGCAGAATGTTGTATACATAATAAATACATAAAACCTTAAAAAGAAAAAGAACTCCCAGTTTCATTTAAAAAAAAAAACAAAACAAAAAAAGTGTTAAATAATGTATGTGTGCTTGAAAGCTAAAATTTTGACAAAGTAAAAATTAAAAGTAAATGTACAATCCTTCCCCCATACCCACTGTCTTTATCTTGGTTTTGTAATTAGATTATAAAGACACAGAAAAGATGACTTTTGCTTTATCATATTTGACCTCATCTTTTCATTGATGAAGATTGGCTAGTCTTTTTGAAATGATTTTACTATTTTATACCTATCTTATTAAGGTCCTATCTTATTTAAGGTCCACACTTTCTGCTCCATATGTTTTTCTTTGCTATTAAAACTGGTAAAGATACGATATTCATGGTGCAGAAGCCTATAATCCTAGCACTTGGGAGGACAGGAGCCAGATGTTCAAGGTCATTCATTCTTGGTCTCAGACTGAGGCTTCTATACTGGGTAGACAAAAACAAAAACAAAAAGGTAAAGCTAGTTGAAACAGAAGTAAAGAACTGCTTCATTTTAGGAGAACCCTACTTAGTAGACTCCATACTAGTCAGTGACTTGCATTTTAATTTATGATATGTAACTTATTTTCATTACTAATGTACTGAAAGACAATTTGAAGATATCCACACTCAATTTTCTGTTCTTAATGTATGAATGTTTCTAGTAGTTGGATTTCAGGAGATAACTTAATGATTACCTTGGTGACATAAAAGCTTAGATTTGTACAGAATAAACATATAGTGAAGTACAAACTAAAAAAATACCAATGTTAAGTTTGAATCTTACATATGATGAGACAAAGGTTCTCAGTCTGTCTGAGTCAGCGTAAAATTCTAGATCAAAGGCATACCTATTCAGTATGTCTGTATTAAGTAACAATTGACTGTAGAATGAGATCATTAGTATCTATGCCATTAAAATACTTTCCCCCAATATAATGTAATACTAAGGCAAAACTGTTATTAAATAATTGGCTCTGTGATTGGGTGTGTTTTCAGTGATACCCTTGTTGAAATAGAAAGTGTTCTGACTCTTACAGTTTGAGATCCTCAAAGCTTTATTATTATGATGTGTAGTGCAATGATAGTTAGCCTTTACTGAGGTCAGCTCATTTCATCTTCAGTAGTCCCACAGCAGCCAGTCACTAGGATCATGCTGCTTTGCATGAGGAGCTGTGGATTTTGTTAACATTTTCATGCTGAAGTGCTCATATTTGATTCCTGTTTTTTGTCAAGAAAAACTTTGATTATTTGTAAATTTAGTTTTTGTTGGTATTTGAAACTTCACGAATGTAAAATTTCTTGACCCTTCACAGACTGTTTATTATCTTTTTGGCTTTATGAAACAAAATACTTGCTTTAGCCACTTGCACGTCTTGGGTATCCAGATGCCCAAGTTCTGAGAATGTGTGGTTGGGACATTTTTAGTCTTGCTCCCCTCCTCCCCAGCGTCCAAAGATCTTGTCTTTAGCCAAAATCACAAGGGGAGAGAGACGCGGCAGGCCAGCCCCCAGCTCTACTCTCCTGCACCCAAACCTTTACACCCCTATTCCTCCTCTTCTAACCACAGTGCCTACCCCAGGGGCTTTGCAGACTTCTCCCTAGGCATCTGCATGACCTCACTTCCTTCGGGTCTGAGGTCTGATGCCATCAGAAAGGCCTTGAAGACGCTCGTGTATCAAGCTTGCCCTGCCTTGTCTGACTCCACGTTTTACCAACTCTTCCACTATGGACTCTTGCACAGAGTGTAACTTTATGAAGTCAGGAGTTTTGTCGAATTTGTTCATAACATGCTCCGGGGCCCAGAACAGTGCCTGCCACATAACATGTGCTTGGTGAATGGTTGTTGAATGAACTGAAATTTCCCAAGGCCCCTACTCTGAAAACTGTGATATCAAGCTTCCTGTAGCCCAGGCTGAACTGGGACTGTATATGTTGTATATGTAGGTTAATCTTGAGCTTCTGATCCTACTTCCTTCACTTCTTCTCAGGCGTAGACTATCACCCCCTGTCTGTTTGATGCTGGGGATGGAACCTGGGGCTTTTTGCACTGCGGGTGAACACTCAGCCTGCTGGGCTACATCCTTGGCCGTATATCAGAACCTCTAAAATTCCTTGGCCTCAGTGGTCCTCCCATCATCCCTTTCCTCCTCTGTGTCTTTGTTTTTATTTATTTCACTTTTTAAGACTTACTTATTTTATGTATACAGTGTTCTATCTGTATGTACACCTGCAGGCCAGAAGAGGGCATCAGATCCCACTATAGAGGGCTGTGAGCCACCACGTGGTTACTGGGAATTGAACTCAGGACCTCTGGAAGAGCAGCCAGTGATCTTAACCACTGAGCTATCTCTCCAAGTCGCTAATTTTTATTCTTCTATGTTTTTTTTTTTTGAGACTATTTCTCTGTGTAACAGCCCTGACTGACCTGGAACTCACTCTGTAGACCAGGCTAACCTTGAACTCACAGAGATCCTTCTGCCTCTGCCTCCCACATATGTAAAGGCATATTTTTTTTATTTTATATATGTAGGATGTTTGCCTTCATGTCTGTCTGTGCGCCACGGGCAGGCAGTGCCCTCTATCTAGAAGAGGCCCTCTGATTCTTTGGGATGAGCTCTGCAGATGGTTGTGAGCCGCCATGTGTGTGTGTGTGCTGGGATTGAAATCGGGTTCTCCGCAAGAGCAGCAAGTGAGACAGGCATCTCTCCCTTCTTCTTTTCCTTTTTCCCCTTTCTCCCTCTTCTTCCTCTTCCTTCCCCTCTTTCCTCCCGTCCCCTCTTCTCACACCCCCCTCCCAGGTGTATATGGATTGACTGAATCTAGGGCTTCCTGTATGCTGGTAAATGGTTTACTTCTGAGTATTCCCAGTCTATCTATCTATCATTTGTTTGCTTTTGGATTTTCTAGACAGGGTTTCTCTGTGTAGCCCTGGCTGTCCTGGCACTCGTTCTGTAGACCAGGCTGGTCTTGACCTCGGAGATCCCCCTGCCTCTGCCTCCCGAGTGCTAGGATTAAAGGTGTGCGCCACCATGCAGGGGCTGGCTGTTGCATTTTATTTTGAAATAATCTTGTAACTTGCCCAGGCAGGCCTTGAGCTGGTGGTCGTCCTCCTTCAGTCTCCAATAGTTGGGAGCACAAGCCTGTGTCCATCAGGCCTGCAGCTCTGAGATTCTAATATCAATGCCCTACAGGTTTATGGTCTGTACAGAGAATGCAAAATGACCCATGGTTCAAATATTCTAAGATTATTTTAGTTCCAGCAGCTGTCCAGGCCTCCTGCATTGGTGCACTTCCATGCTTAAATTGTTATTTATTTTTAAACATTTTTTTTGGTTTTTTTTGTTTTGTTTTTTTTTTGTTTTTGTTTTGTTTTGTTTTGTTTTTTTTGGAGACAGGATTTCTCTGTGTAGCCCTGGCTGTCCTGGAACTTGCTTTGTAGACCAGGCTGGTCTGGAACTCACAGCCTCTGCCTCCCAAATGCTGGGATTAAAGGCATATGCCACTTTTGTGTGCATCTGTGTGTGTGTGTGGGGGTGCTCCACTGGTCCTGGGTTCTGAGTGTGGAGGTCCGAGGTCAACTTTCGTGAGTCGGGTTGGCAGCATGCACCTGCACGACTGTGACAGCTCATGTCTGTGGTTTAGACGGTCTGAGCCGCTAGACTCTCTTTCTTTCTCGTTGCAGAAGAAGCT